ACTTGTATGTTGTGTGCATCACGTAGCAATTTTAGGCTAATAAACTGGAATAAGAGCATATATGTTTTCAAAAACAAGATATCATATTTAGTAGTGGCCGATCTTTGATCAGGCGAGCGGGGGTGCTCATTGCATGACCTTCCCCAATCGTACCTAAGTTCCCGAGCCGATGTAACTTTGGTGATGGCGGACACGTGACTTTAGGCACGAGTCCGGGTTTCCTAAATTTTTCCAAAATAAAATATTTAGGTGGCGACTCTGTATCTAGCAAAGCAGTCCATGTTTGACATTTCTTTCTAAAAAATCAGTTTTTCAAAACGATTTGTCGGATTTAAACTCTTTGGTGATTTATCAATCTCGTATTACACTTTGCGAGATCAGATTAAGAACCGTGACATTTGAGTCTGAACTGTAGTAAGCCCAATGGACAAAACGGGATTTTTCCGGGACGTTCGGGCGCGTCTACAATGACCAAGACCTATAATCTGCTTTCATCAATGCCTTAGAACCAACGACCAAGTTCGTTCAAGTTTCTCAGCCGAAACCGTCCTCCTAGCCGAGGTATTTGCTTCATCAAATCAAGAACTCCAAGAGTTCCAGCACGTGTATGAGCTGGCATGCACAGTATTTCAACCGTTTTTATCGCCATTTCATGCTTTTGATCAAAATCAACTCTCTCTCCGTCTTTTCATTTCTGCATCTTTGTTCTTGTTCAAACTTTCTCTCTCAAATCCTCCATTGCTACTTTTGCGAAGCTTTCTGCAACCAGTTTCACTCTCTCCCTCCGGTGAGGCTTTTGTTGCACTTCTTTGCTTACTACCACCGTTTGACACCGGCGTACTTCACACCGTCCTTTTTGTAATCTAAACAATTATTCTTCAATATTAGGCCGAAGTGCCTTCTTTCATTTTCTGAATGCATTCTTTAATTTCTTCTTTCAACGTGGTTGTATGTGTCCTCTTTTTACTCTTGTATGATTCTATACTTAAAAATAATTTGCATGTCTTCAAAATACACCTTAACTGTGCAATCTCCTCGGGGTGTAACACCTCGATTGCACCCACTAATCGATTTCTCTCAGCCTCGGCTTAACACTTGAAAATATTTTTTACAATATTTTTCACAAGTGTTATTTACAACTCAATACTTCACTCTTAGCAAGACTTCTGTCTTCAAATTTCTTCCAAGTCTCGGCAACATGGTAATCTCAGCAAGTATGTAGATATTTCTTTCAACATAACCTTGGCTTAACTTGTAAATTTTTTTCAAAATTTCAACAAGTGTTAAACCATTCTTTCTAACATAACCTCGGTTAACTTCAACTTGTAAACTTAAATTTCAACAAGCGTTAAACGTGACCTCGGTTTAACTTCAACTTGTAAACTTAAATTTCAACAAGCGTTAAACGTGGCCTTGGTTTAACTTCAATTTCAACAAATGTTAAACATGACATCGGTTTAACTTCAACTTGTAAATTTCAATTTCAACAAGTGTTAAACACGTCCTCGGTTTAACTTTAACTTGTAAATTTAAATTTCAACAAGCGTTAAACATGGCCTTGGTTTAACTTCAATTTCAACAAGTGTTAAACATGACCTCGGTTTAACTTCAACTTGTAAATTTAAATTTCAACAAGCGTTAAATATGGCCTCGGTTTAACTTCAACTTGTAAACTTCAATTTCAACAAGTGTTAAACACGTCATCGGTTTAACATCAACTTGTAAATTTCAATTTCAACAAGTGTTAAACACGTCCTCGATTTAACTTCAACTTGTAAACTTCAATTTCAACAAGTGTTAAACACGTCCTCAGTTTAACTTCAACTTGTTAACTTAAATTTCAACAAGCGTTAAACATGGCCTTGGTTTAACTTCAACTTGTAAACTTCAATTTCAACAAGTATTAAACATGACCTCGGTTTAACTTCAACTTGTAAATTTCAATTTCAACAAGCGTTAAACACGTTCTCGGTTTAACTTCAACTTGTAAATTTAAATTTCAACAAGCGTTAAACATGGCATTAGTTTAACTTCAACTTGTAAACTTCAATTTCAACAAGTGTTAAACACGTCCTCGGTTTAACTTCAACTTGTAAATTTAAATTTCAACAAGTGTTAAACACGTTCTCGGTTTAACTTCAACTTGTAAATTTAAATTTCAACAAGCGTTAAACACGTCCTCGGTTTAACTTCAACTTGTAAACTTCAATTTCAACAAGTGTTAAACACGTCCTCGGTTTAACTTCAACTTGTAAATTTCAATTTCAACAAGTGTCTAAACCAATCTTAGCTTGTGAAATTCCAACTCCTAAGCATCATTCTTCAGCCCTTTGCCCCCTAATGTGAACTTAAGTTCCACTTGGGTTCTCATTAGGCACGTGGCTTTGACCTCATCGTCGATGTAAGATTCAAACAAAGACTGGCCGAGGTTATTAACCTTGGTCTCTTTACTAAGGCACTTAGCTCCAATCTGTGTCTGATTTTGCCGATATGACAAGTCCAGGTTAACCCAACTTAGTTCAACTTTATTATATGCAAGTAAAGTTTTTACTCTGCCATATAATAAGTCTAAGTTATTCGCCATGTTTCAATTAGAAACATCATCATAGGACTGGTCGATCGTATCGCACAGATTTCAAAAATCAAACTAGCACTTTATTATTGCTTCAGCCATTATGCCCCATTGCCGGCAACCTTTCTCAGGCTGAGGTCCCTAACTTTGAACTCTCCTGGGCTGACCTTCTTGTTGTAAGCCCTAGCAAGTTGTTGCTGGTATACCCCCAGCCGAATTGCTATTCTATCGCACGTTGCAGGTGGATTTCAAAGCATTTTCATGCTTTTTTTACAAAGGCTTCAGCTTCTTTTTGCATGTAAGGCCAAAAGAATCCCTACGATATTGCTCTATGGGCAAGGGATCTGCCCTCTGCATGGCTTCCACATACTTTTTTGTGGTTCTTATATAAAAATTCCTTAACTTGGGCCAAGCTTTTCTCTTCTCGGACTTAGTCATCTAGGCCGAGATCTTGTCTTCTGGGATCTGGGATCCGAGATCTGGAATCCGGGATCTACTCACTTGGGTTGAGCTCTTGTCTTTTCGTATCTAGTGTTATCTCGGCTTCGCTTCGGCGAACCATTTCTCTTCTCTTGTTTAGACCTTTTGTCCCCGATGTGTCCTCCTCGATTCTAGCATACTTTTATATCCTGGCCTTCAGCTCTTCCATGCTTTTCGGCAATGTTTTTGCCAGTGATTTTCGAAGCAGGCAGTCATCCTTCAAGCCATTTTTAAATGACACGACCGCCACCTCTTGGTTGCATCCTGGTATTCGGTTGAATACCTCATAATACCTTTTGGCATAGGCCCTAAGGCTTTCATCCTCGCCAATCTTCAGGGCCATTAGAGCGTCCACCCTCAATGCTTGTAGCTTGTTTGTCACGAACCTGGCCACAAACATCTCGGTCAGGCCTTTCTAGGTTTTCACAGTTCCTTTCAGCAACTTGTGAAAGTCCGATGCAATTTCTCCGAAGGATGAAGGGAATACCTTGCAGAGCAACGGCTTGTTCCGGTGTACAACGCCATCGAGTTCAAGTACAAGCCGACGTGAAAGTTGGGATCCGACTTACCGTCGTAGATTTGGAATCTCGGCATGCGAAACCTCTTTGGGGCTTCGAATTTGTCCAATTCTACTGAAAATGGCGTTCTTGGCTTGACCGGGGAGGTTACCTCAGTATCTTGTTGCTTCCTCTATAAGTGATCCCCCAGATCCTCTTTGGTCCGTCCAGGAGCTCGGCTATCTCCTGACTTCAGCCTTTTGGGTGCACTACTCCCAGTTTCATTATGGGTCCTTTTGGACTTCCCTCTATTGGTTGCGTCGAAACACAACTCCTGCATTTGAACATGCCGATGTTCTTTGGGGTCGGCTTCCTTGGTGCGATGCGTCCTTCTCGATTCTTCCCTTCTTGACTCTCCTCGCTCGACCTCCCTTGAAGGCCGGTGACAGTGTTTTTCGGTCCTGGTGTGCTGGGGGACTGTAGGGACTGTTTTCTACCCCTCTTTTCGGGCATCCTCCTTTGCCACTGGAATCGGCGTATCTTGTAGTGGAAACGGTAGCTGCATGACGTTATTCTGCATCATGAAATTGGCCACTGTTTGTAGGTCCGCCAATTTGTTCACCATGGCCTTTACCTCATCGTCCCTTCGTAGGCATCTTTCTTTCCATACTTGGAGGTCGTTTTCGTTGTAATACCCGCTCCGGTCTGTTTTCTTTGGTGCGTCATTCTCCTGGCCGACGTTCTTTCCTTCGTGATTCTTATCGTGAGTTTCTTTGTTGTAGTTGTCTTTTTCGACGTCAAGGTCTACAGGTTTCCCACTCCCATTAGGAGTGTCGTCCCCAACCTTCTGTTTTTGTTTGTCGTTGGCCATCTATTCTCCTTTCGTTCCCACAGACGGCGCCAAATTGTGTGTGTCAATTTCCGACCACACTGCCAATCAAGCACTCAGCTGCAGAACACTAGCAGAATAGATTAAGGCCGAACGACCTATCACAGAAAAGAAGAGATTCCGTCGATGGTTCGTCCACTCGGGGGTACTCCGACGATCAAGTCAGTTATCTCTCAATGATAGCAAAAAAGCTTAACTCACTATTCAGAATATAAAAAACATACCTTAGACTCATGGGGGTGACTCACTTTTATAGCCAACACAATCCTAGTCCCAATAGAAGCCTAGTTCCAATGGATTCAGGATTGCTGCTAATCGTGGACTCCCAGTAGGATTGAGATAAACTCTCTAAGAGTCTTATCTTTACCCAAACTGAAGTCATCTCTTATTCTAGGACTCTGGTCCCGTATCCGCTTATTCTGGATTCTGGTATCTTCGCAGATAACCTCGGCCTAGCCGAGATGATCTCGGCGTCATGATCAGAACACGTGGCACCTCGGCTAGCACTTCGGTGACACCTCGGCCACGTGTTGTCATTCAAAAATTATGCCCCCACAAAGCACCAACATGATCATCATCACAGCCCTTTAAGGATTTCTGTGAGAAGAGCTTACATTCTGGAAGATTCATATAATCAACTGCGCATGAGGTTGGCACAAGATTTGAAGGGGAGGTTGAATGTTCATTTCCAAGGAGAGGAAGGTATTGATGCAGGTGGACTTACCAGGGAATGGTATCAGTTGTTGTCCAGGGTTATCTTTGACAAGGGTGCACTACTATTTACAACTGTTGGCAATGAATCAACATTTCAGCCAAATCCCAACTCCGTTTATCAAACGGAACATCTCTCGTACTTTAAATTCGCTGGGCGAGTTGTGAGTATCTTTTCATTCATGGTTGCTTGGTGAAGTTGCTAACTATATGCTTCTTGCTTATGTCTTTGCCTATATGTTTCAGGTTGGGAAAGCACTTTTTGATGGACAACTTCTTGATGTTCATTTTACTCGATCCTTCTACAAGCATATCCTCGGGGTTAAAGTGACTTACCATGACATTGAAGCTATAGATCCTGATTACTTTAAAAACCTGAAGTGGATGCTTGAGGTATGTTGCACACTGGAATGTCGCATGCACACGCGCACACAATATATATATATATATATATATCACTGTTTCCTTTGCCGAGGTCCACCAAACATTTGTCCTCAGTGCCTTGTTTACTTTTGCAGAACAATACCACTGATGTTTTGGACCTTACTTTTAGCATTGATGCTGATGAAGAGAAACGGATATTGTATGACAAGACAGGTAATGAATTCCCTCAACTCCATGAGATGATCATTTTGTTCAACAATTGTTTGTCATATTTAAAATTTTGATTTACATAATATAGGTGACTGACTATGAACTGATCCCTGGTGGACGGAACATTCGAGTTACTGAGGAAAACAAGCATGAATATGCTGATTTAGTTTCTGAGCATCGTTTGACTACTGCTATTCGTCCTCAAATAACTGCATTTTTGGAAGGATTTAATGAACTAATATCTCGTGATTTGATATCTATTTTTAATGATAAGGAACTGAAACTATTAATTAGTGGACTTCCAGATATATAGACTGTGAGTTTGCTTTTATTAAATTGATTATTTTTACTTTTCGTTTCTCAATTCGAGGAAAGTTAAGGGATACTTTTTTTTCTAATAATATCATTCGCTATGTTTGGTTTTAATTTTTGAAAATATTTTTCAAAAAATTATACTTTTTTTTTCTTTTTTTTCACTAAATTTTTTTAATATTTTAAGCAATTTTTTGTTTTTAATTTTTAGACACATCTAACATAAATACACTTAAAAAGTATAATTTTTGTGAAAAACATCTTTAAAAAATTTACTAGATACCAAAAATACAAAAAATAAAATGAAATGAAAATTTAGTATATTTTTCATATTTTTTGTGTATTTATTAATTTTTAAAATATTTTTTCACAAATATTTTACTTTTTAGATGCATCTCTAAGTAAGATGCATATAAAAAAGTAAACAAATGCTTAAAATTTTAAAAATATTCACTAAAAATAAAAAAATAAAAAACTCAATTTTCAAAAAATTTAATTTAAAAAACTGAAACTAAACACAAATTATTTTTCAGTGGACGACATGAGGGTGAATACGGAGTAGTCTAGGCATATGTTGAGCTCCAATTTGGATTTTTGGTACTAAAGATATGCTTTAATTGAAGTTAGAGAAGTTGGTGAATTTTATTATTTTTTGTTTGAAAGTCTTTATATAGAGTAATCCCTTCCAATTTTTTAAACTATAGAGTAGCCTCCAAAAGTCATAATTATGGATCCGTCCCTTTATGTATGTATATTCATATTTATCTTTTGGATTCATAAATTGAGTGTTGTTGTTGCTTATTTGGATGTCATTTATGCTACAAAATTGACTTCTGAAATCTAGAGAATTTCTCTGGAAAGCCAGAAGAGAGAGATGAAGAGTAGGGTGGTGGTGGTGGTAGTGGTGATGATGGGTTTTGAAGGAGTGGATTCAAGATAAATTCACTTCATCTTTGTCAATCTGAGCTCTATCTAATTTTGATAATTGGGGGCAAGTAATTAATTCTTGTATGGGATTCGCTTTTGAATCGACCCCAATTTCATAATTTTCTCTGAAATTCAGAGAATTTATCTAGAAAGCCAAAGAAAATAGATGAAGATGAGGGTGGTGGTGGTGGTAGTGGATTTTGAAGGAGTGGTTCTAGAAAAATTCACTTCATCTTTTTCATTCTAAGCTCTATCCAATTCCCAGATTTCTTTGAAAATTCTTTGAGAAGTCCAGAATTTTTTTGGAGTGGAAATTTCTCTGGAGGTAATTTCTTTGAGAAGTTCAGAGAAATTCTCTGGATTGAATTTTCTCTGAATTGATGTTGAGGGACCTTAGACGTTATGAAAATATTAAATATCTTTTATACTATAAAATCTTAATGCTAGGGACCCTAAAAAAAATCTCCTTATTTTTTTAGTAGTTATTTTTTTTTAAAGAAGCTAGAAGACTTTATTTATTTTTTGTTATGGAAATAGTTTTATGGGTCATTTTTAAACATTTGCGTTTTGAACTTAAATTATCATATTATCCTTATATGGTTGTGGCCAATGCGCCAAACCACAAGTATAGAAGGTAATGTGGTCTTTGCACAATGATGCATAAATTCTCATAAATAGTAGCATTTTTTGGTTGGAACTTGTTTTTGGAGAAATTGCCTAACAATCTCATGGGATTTGTTTTTTTCTAGCAAAAATTTCTTTCTTAGGGTTTAACGGATGCAAAAATTCTTAGGGTTTAACGGATGCAAAAATGAGCATAAATTTCTGGATGATATTAATATGAAATAACAAGAATCATTAATGATTTAAAGGTCAACTTTGATTTTTTTCACCAAAAAAGAAAAAAGGGTGAATCTTCACTGTTTAAGGTCTCAAATCACTCTTTAACATTTGTTATATAAACTACAATGTTGTTATTTATTTTTCACTAGTTAAATTACATAATAATAATAATAATAAATAAAAACAAACTTTTTGTTTTGTCTGACAATTTTTTCATTTGTGTGTTCTAACGTCACTTTTTTATTTTATTTTATTTATCTATTAACATACTATTTAAGAGCCTCCACGGCTGTCCAAATATTAGTTTGTTTGAAATTTTTTGTTAAAATAATTATTATAATAGTTACAACAAAATAGAATAAGATCAACTAACAAACCTCTTTTAAAAAATTTGTTATAGATATTCCATATATTTTTTTTCTATAGTGAATGCACACAATTTATTTCCCTGATAATCCTTCTAATGAGGTGGTAAGACAAAATGCATATAAGAAAATTTTTAAAAGATATTAGAGTGCGTATCAATTTTTTAAAATTTTATTTATCACGCCATTTGAAAAATTTTAAAAATTATGTAGACGGGTTATTTTTTTTAATTTTTTTAAATTTTTTTTTTTTTGGACAAAGGGAGTCAATTTCATTCAATAATAAAGGCGGCTACCTAGGAAAACTACAAAAACAACATCATCAATTTTTTTTATTGGGCAAAGGAATAAAATTGAAAAATGCTTGGGAGCATTAATTAGTGCTCCCACTAATTAGGTGGCAGTGGGTCTCGCCATTAATGATGTGATGTTTTGGTCTTAGAGTTGTATTTTTTTTTTTTTTTACTTTTTTAATGTATTAGTGCTATTAATGGTGATGTTTTTAGTGAGATGAATTATTGTTGAATAAAATTTCATTCAATAAAGACGGCTACATAGAAGAAGTACATTAACAAACAGCTATCATCTTCCAAATCAAAGAACTTACAGCTCAAACTTATTAGGAGAGACTACAAAACCTTTGTCCATACATAAATAAGAGATTGTGAATGTCACGAAAACATTATTCTCTCTCGACAGAGATTGTTGAGACATGGGACACATGGCGTTACTAGAAAAGTAAGAACATATTAATGAAAAACATGACCAAAACTTAACTAGGATTTGCAATATTTATGAAAGGAAAAAATAAAGCAAGGATGCAACACCAAAAATGCCAATCCTTTTGTCAAAATTTCTTTCCATTGTGTTAGCCATTTGTTCATGACTTCCTTACTTTTTTTGCCATTCATGACTTGGCTACAAATTTTGCTAACAATACAAATAAATTTCAACATGTGGTTCAAACAAAACAATTAAAGGAAGAGAAATAAGAAATTGAAGATCAATGATTAATGAAAAATAATTTCATTAATCCTCAAAGAGAATAAAAATTCTTTCAATGAATAAAATTTTGCTACAAACTAATAATACCATTCTACTCCTAAACATTAGATAAACTATTCCTAAGATAGGAAAGAAAAAGAGAAATGTTTTTTATGTTGTTTGATTTATCCTTTACATTAGCCATCCCTTCAATCTTCACAACTTTCTTTGCAACTTCTCCTAACCTTTCAATTGATTAAAGGACTGCTAAGTGATCTGCATTACAATAAAATAACAAAAATAATGATGATAATAAAATGTGGCCACAGTTAGTCTTTAAAGATGATTTATAGTCTGAAACGGCAAGTCGCAATCAATAAAATTAGATTTTATCACAATCGACATAAAAATATTGTACGGTGCAAACACATGGTAAGAATCAATAATTGTTTTTTTTTATTTTTTATTTTTACCACACATATTTTTCACCCAAATCAAGCTTGATCTTGACACGCTGATGCAACTCGCGCATGCATTTGCCAAGTATGTTTTATTTTTTTAAGTGAAAAAATTTTAACATACTTGGTGAGACTCTTTGATGTCGCCTAATTACTGATCATGTCAAAATTTTAACATGTCAATTCGTTATTTTCAGTTGAAAGTTTCAATTGGTGTTGCAAGGAAGAAATTTGTTAGCGCTATTATGAGATTACAAGTTTGTAAAATGAAGGGCCTACTTATATCTTCATAATCATTGCCTTTTACATAGGATTTTAGATGGTGCTATGAAGAAAATATTCGCTTGAGTGGTGCAATTCAACTACTTAAGAATGAAATAGATCAGTTGAATTTGGAGACTGACCAATTTCATCATAAATTAAGCTATTTTGTGGAAGCAATGTTAAACGGATCTTTAAATGCAAAATATTAGTTCCTTTGACAAAAACTACTAACAAAATCTTTAGAAAATCCATATCTTGTTTCAATATTTTGGGAGGCAAATTCACAAATTGAGCAAGAAGGAATACCACTTGCTCTCAAGGCATTGTGGGGCACATTAAGAGCTCTTTCCAACAAAAGGAGGTAGGTTGTTCAACTTGAGATTAGCCAAAATATAGGCCAACAAAATGACCAAAAACATACATCAATTTTGCCATCAAGAAAATGCAATTAGGAGGAGTAAAACGAAGGCAGGTCAATTTGGGGAGCTCATTAAAAGCAAGTTTTATTCAAGCGGCTTACCCAACAAAAAAAAAATAAATAAATAAATAAAAAAATAAAAAAATCAAAAATTCTCATGTGCCATTAAATATAGAGCAAATTAAATAGATATCCTTACATTTTGTCTATTGTATTATTTTAGTCTTTACACTTTTTATTGGCTCAATTTTGACTTTTTATTTTAAATTTTGTGTCAATTTATGTCCAACTGATAACACTGTCAATGTTTTTGATTAAAAATAATCATTGAATTAGTTGAGGTTAACTAAAGTTGAATAAGTTTTTAATTTTGTCTCTAAAAATATGATGCATACTATTTACATATATTTTTTTTAATAAAAAATGTTAACAGTTATAATCAATTAAATCAAGTTAAGATAATCACAAATTCATAATGAAAATCGAGCCAATTAAAATAATAAGGATCAAAATGACATAAGAATTAAAATATAAGGACCACTAGCTTAATTTATCTTTAATATATCATTGGCCCAACAAGCATCACCTAAGTTATTCATCAATAGCTCAAAGAGGTTGTTGAAGGGAAAATAAAAAATGAAAATCAATTAAGAAAGTTAAGCCAAATTCGTGCTAGGGCTGGTTTGGCAACTCAAAAAAAAATTAAAAAGTCAAAAAATTATTTAAAAAGTTAAAAAATTAT